CTGATGCCCAGCACAGCCTGGAGCCGTCCTGGAGGAGAGGCCGTTCCCTTCCCTCCGGCATGCTCGGAGCCCCCAGCCACTCTGGGACAGGGGCTTAGGAGCCCAGGCAGGGCTACGTGGGGTGTTTGGGCACAGCAAAAGGCCTGAGGCGGGGCAAGATGGGCCGGATCCATGCATTACGCAGGTCTCCGTGCCCCCTCCTCCTCCTGCAGATCCACTTCTGGGAGGCCCAGCGCCGGAACGAGAGCGCACGGGTGAAGACGCTTTTCCTGCCCGAGAACGGGGTGAAGCTGAAGAACCTGACGGGGTACACCTCATACTGGGTCAGCGTTGCCGCCTTCAACGCCGCAGGAGACGGACCCCGCAGCAGCCCCGTCAAGGGGCGGACGCAGCAGGCAGGTGGGGCCCATGGCACGGCTCCCCCCCCCAGCCCTTCGCTCAGCACGGTCGCATCCGCAGCCTCCTGCCCCTGGGCTCCGTGGGGAGGTGTCTCCATGGGTCCAGCTCCAGTGATGTCTGGCTGATGCCCCTTCATCCCAGCTGCACCCCGGCTTCTGCTCTTGCAATCCCAAGCAGAGACCAGCCCTGGGCTCACCCCAGAGGGTTTGTGGGTTGGGGGCACGTGGAAATGAAGGTCTTGGCTGAGTCTTGAGAAGGATGAAGGTCTCAGGAGGAGAGTCAAGGAGAAGGAGACTCATTCCCCTAGCCATGTGCAGTGGCCTGGCAGGGTCTTTGCTGCAGCAGAGATGGGGGCACGGCACCAGGGTGGTGTGAGATGGTGATGATGAGTGCCCCCGCCCCGAGAGGGTAGAGGCAGGGAGAAGGGCTGGCTTGGTGCTGGGGGTGTCCCCTGGGAGCACTGAGCTGGCCCTGGCCACCCTGCTCCCTCACAGCCCCCAGCGCCCCCGGCTCCATCCGGTTCAGTGAGCTGACCACCACATCGGTGAACGTGTCCTGGGAGCCACCACCGCTGCCCAATGGCGTCCTCGAGGGCTACAGGCTGGTCTACGAGCCCTGCATGCCCGTGGACGGTGAGGGCACAGCGGGGGTACCGGGGGGAGGCTGGGAGCACTGGGGGGAGCTGGGAGGGCTCCAGGGAAGACCTGGCTCAGCCTCCATCCCCACAGGCGTCAGTAAGATCGTGACAGTGGATGTGAAGGGGAACAGCCCGTTGTGGATGAAAGTGAAGGACCTGGCCGAGGGCATGACGTACCGGTTCCGGATACGGGCCAAAACCTTCGCTTACGGGCCCGACGTTGAGGCCAACATCCCCACGGGGCCT